AAAAGGTTTTTTTTCGGAGCTTCTTTATCCTTTACCAATGTCAGGAATACAACTTTTGATGGTATTTTTTTCCAAGATGGTAAAATATTAAAATTTCTATCGCTATATTTAACTTTCTATTGTTTTAAATTTTCTAAAGCATTGTTTACACCCGTTTAACAGCATAAGCACTATGCTACGGCACGATTTTTGTTAATTAAGTGACGATTGCATCGTGTACTGCATCACAACGTTGTGAACAGTTCGGTTTATAAAATATTGCTTCTACAGTACGGTCCATAAAATTTGTGTTCATTGAAGAATCATATTTTGGTCAACTTGTATATTTTTAGACAGTTATTAATACACGACTGACTATATTCTTTACAGAATGAAATCATAATAGAACAATAACTGGTGGATTAGTGTTTTGTTGTCCAAACTGATGTGTAATTGTAATTTGTATTGAGAAATCTTAATAACCGTATGGCYTTTGTTCAACAAACAGTGCTCTTGACTCTATTAAGGAGAGTTTTGTTTTCCGCAGATCACTAAAGCAAGGCACAGCAACAAGGCGAGAATTCATCGAAGAAGGCTTGGACTTGTTAGTTAGCCAAGTCAGACATGACGTCCACCATGTTTGCGTGTCTTGCTTTCTGGTTGGTGCTTTGTTTTTCTTTTATAAATGAGTTTGTTGCCAGCAAGAAGGAAAGGAAGCCTCCTAAGTTTGTGTTCGTTGATGGCGACGTTATCATAGGCGGCTTCTCTCCCGTCCATTTCTCGCCCATCGGTGACGAAACAGTTCTAGACCCTGACGTTTATCACTACTGCGAAGGTGAATTCAACACACGAGGATTTGAAGCAGTTGAAGCGATGCTTTTCACAATGGATATGCTAAACCACGGCCATTTGAAAGACTCTGTACTTCCAAACATAACCATCGGAATGGACATTAAGGAAACTTGTACAACGGCGGATCATGCTCTCAGAGAATCATTAAAGTTTTCTTTCATTAGAGATGCCAATACGCAAGAAAAATGTCCACGACAAAGTGGTAAATCAATGACTCGAAAAACAAAAACTGTAGCTGTAGTTGGAGCGGCATATAGTGGCGTTTCCATGGCAGTAACAAACTTATGTGGGTTGTTCTACGTCCCGCTTGTAAGCTACGCATCCACAAGTCGCCTGTTAAGCAACAAGGCGCAGTTTCGGTATTTCTTCAGAACAGTGCCAAGCGATATGTTACAAGCACAAGTTATGGTAGACCTGGTGAGGGCAATGGACTGGAACTATGTTGTTACTTTGGCTTCAGACACTGAATATGGACGATCAGGAATCGATGCTTTTAAAAACGCTGCTCAAAGATTGCACGACTATCATATTTGTATTCCTGTAGACGAAACCTTCACAAAAATGTCAGASGCAAAAACGTTTGATAACATTTTTAAAAAGTTGATGTCTCATCCGAGAGCCAAAGTAATTATCCTCTTTGCGGAACTTCAAGACGCGCAAATTTTAATTGATAAAWTCCGAGAGCGAGAGATGGAAGAAAAATACATCTGGATAGGGTCAGATGCCTGGGCAGACTCCAAAGACATTCTGAAATCAAATGAAGTGATATTAAATAGAATGTTTGCAATCGTACCTGAAGTACGGAAAAACGAAGAGTTTGTCCAATACTTTGTTGACTTTAATGAAAAGAGAAGGTTGCGAAACCCATGGACTGAGGAGTACGAGGATATCGCCGTCGCTCATGATCCGGCATTTCACCGGCAAACTTTCATCCCTTACCCTAAAGCACCTTAYGTTATGGATGCTGTACTGACTACTGCATACGCTCTTCACGATATGTTGGGTTGTACACCSTACARGAATTGTCGTCCGATGATGTACAAACTTTCAGCACCAAACTTCCAGAAAAAATATGTTGAACATTTAGAGAGGGTGCGCTTTCCCAGTATGTCACGTGACATTATGTACTTTAATGACGCCGGTGATGCAATAGGCATATACGACATAAAACATCTGAAACTCGTCAATCAAAATTATGAATATCTGAAGGTCGGTGAATGGGGATCGGGCAATTGCGACTTTGACGCTTTGAATAATTCGTGCTTGAATCTGRAAAGGCACCTCTTGGATGAACGTCTTACGAAGCCGACTAACTTGTCGAAATCTAATATTATTTCTTCAAGATGTAGTAGAAATTGTCATGCAGGCTATCATAAAATTCCCGAGAAAGCCTTTGCCAAGTGCTGTTGGACCTGCAAAAAATGCACGGGAAACACAGTATCGAATACCACAAACAAAGATGAATGTGCGAAGTGCCCAAAAGGATTTTGGCCAAATTCTTTGCACTCCAAGTGTGAGCTTATCCAACCACTCCTCATCAAGTGGACAGACCTCGCTGCTCTCATTATTATTGTCRGTATTGGGATTGGGCTTCTGGCTGTACTTGGAACTTTTCTTGTTTTCTTTTTCTATGGCAACACTCCAGTTGTGAAAGCTTCCAGTCGAGAGCTATGTTATGTTCTGTTGTTTGGAATTGTTTGGTGTTATGCGACACCGATACTCTTTCTTATGGAACCAAGTGATACAATTTGTCGGATCATACCATTTGCAACTGGACTGTGTCCATCTCTGGTCGTTGGRACACTACTCACTAAAACAAATAGAATTTCCAGGATTCTTAACCGTAAGCTTAATAAGGCTGGTACTGCGGCGTGCCTTTCCAGAAAGTGGCAAATCTTAATTGTGATGTGGATCGCACTTGCTGAAGTTTTAATTTGTGGCGTCTACACCCTCTTTAGTGACACAGGCAGAACAGTCATCACCTTCGAGTCCAGAAACGAAGTGATTATTAAGTGTAAACCAATGCCTGACATTTGGGTTGCTATTTGGTGGGCATACGTTGTAGGCCTAGTTGCAACATGCACTCATCAAGCCTTCCTGACAAGAAAGCTACCAGAAAATTACAACGAAGCCAAGTTCATCACTTTCACGATGTTGACAACCTGTATTGTGGTAATCATGTTTATTCCGACGTACTTTGGTACGAGTGGTGTCTACCGAACTGTCATCATTTGTTTTGTATTCATAATCGGAGGTTCGGCAGCACTTGGGTGTATATTTGTCCCAAAACTATATATTATCTTATGGAGGCCAGAAAAGAACATTCCAATGAGACCAAAATCTCATTCGGTTCTCTTAGGAACAATTTCTTCCACATCTTTCCTTGCAGACACTTTGTCAAATCAAGAAATGCGTCGTGAACTATGCAAAAGAAGAACCTCATCAACTTTGAGCAGGAGGCAAGCAATAGCAAGTGAAATTCTACTCAAAAAATCCAAATCCAGCGAGAAGGCSACAGAATGTGTGTCTTTGTTGAGAGATGAAGAACTGAATGACAAATTCCCACCATTGACAGAAGCCAATCTATTTGACCATACTTACATACAAAGATCAACGTCATTACCTGGAAATATTGGAAACCAGTCCAAAGACAAACCTGCGAGGATGATGGGGCGTGAATACCAGTCATCCCCACAAATCAATTTTGAGAGAAATGTCCCTACTCGTCTTGACAAAAAAAATGTTACCACTTGCACTTCTGCACAACAACTGCTTAGAGTTGATGCATTAGATTCCATGCATGGAGTTGATACCGATATTGCGTTTGAAGAAGCACGAGGTCTTGAACTAGACCTTTGCACATGTATGTCTCAAAAAGAAACTACGGAGCCTTCAATTGACGACTTTTCGGGTTCAATGGGCAAAGCACCAGAAACTGATTTGAATTATAATAGAAAGAGCAGAACTAAGAAGATATCTCTTGAAGAGGCGCTTATCAATGGTCTCTCCATGATGACATCAAAGGAGACACATGTCAATAATGGCCACGGGGCAGCTTTACTCGACAACCGTAAGCGCTTGAATGGAAAAATCCATGTACATAACCAGGAATTGCAGATCAGAACTTCATAAAATTGTCGTTCTAAAAGTAAGTATGTAAAATACTAAAAACAATAGCAACCGCAAAGTGATGGTGATGGTGTTCTATCAAATATGAAAAGGTTTAAATATATTTTTCTTTTAGTTTTCAGAATTCTGCAGTTCACAAAGACTTCTACTTTCAGATACAGAGCTTAATCGCCGTTTTACCGGCGACCTATATTACTGGTATAACAATGAAAGTACAAAAAACGGAGAAGTTCAATAAATTAAGAGTAATATTATTAAATATTGTGTAATTATAGCTTATTTGTGTTATGTACGTTAATGTTGCTTTTTGAGGGGGAGAGGCAATCATTATCCATTTGCTTTGCTCTGTTTTGCCTTATATATTTGGTTATAATACCACTTATTTATGCAAAACGTGCACAATTTTTCGAAACTAAGTTGATAACTGATTTATTTTTATCCCTGACTTTGCACATGTAATAAACAGAGAATATTCCATGGGCGCGCGGAGATACGGATTTTATCTTCGAGTGTATATGTTGAAAAGATGTTTCACGAGTAAGCGTAGTGAGAAGTGTAATTCGTATCTCCAATCGACCATGTAATATATAATTACATGTGAAAGCAAATTATGCCGTAAAAAAACCTTGCTTCCACTGTATAGAGAAACCTAGAATGCGTTATTTTCACTAGGGCTAAGTGTTATTTTTCACTACATCAGCTACATGTTATTTTCACTATAGTGAAAATACCAACTTTGCGAAATGGAGAAATATAGGTATTTATTTTTTTCGGTCCGGTATCCTAGTCATTCGCGCGCTAACCGAGTAAAGTCCGAGTAAAGTTGCAGAAAATACAAATAAAAAAAATAAAAATGTTATTCACCGGCTATAGGTCGGTCCGTATAGGAAAACACTGCCCTCGGTCTTTTATATACGGACCGAGAGCACCTCGTGTGTACAAACAGGCAAAAAATATCSCATCGGGGAGGGGGAGCGTTGTTGAAATCAACAACAGCTGACAAGCAGCCAATCAGAAGCCTCKATGTCAACTGGCTCGTATTTTGAATCAAGAAACAAAATGGCGATCGACTCGAAATTCACCGAGGAAGAAATAAAAGCTATTTCTATAGCAAATAATGATCAAATAGGTAAGCTAAACTAATTTTAAAATAAAAATCCCTAAATCCTGACTTTATGTCACTTTTTAATTAGATTTGAAGAACTTTCCGTGGATAAATACTCTGAAATCGACGAACAATTACGACGATGTTATGAACATTCTGGAAACTCGGATGGCCGAGATTCGAGAATTGTATGAGACAGCGAATCAAGGTTTGAACCCGATAGATATCGTATTGTAGATCGAAGATAATGAGGGTTTAGGTACAATTATTTCAAGCGTGCACTATAAGCTAAAGTTACTTAATAGGATTGTTACACAGATTGACGGAAGCTAAAAGAAATGTACTTTGCGCGTTTACAATTTTCTCTAAGGCTTATATACATGTACACAGTTTTAGATTAGCTATCTAATTGAAAATTCAAAATATTAGGAATATTAGCCTCTTTGATCCTTCAAATATCGTGATTAAACTATTTTTCACTAAATTCAAATGATATTGATGTACTAACAGATTGGATCGATCAATTATAGAAATAAGATAAACGTTTTAAACGATTTCCTTTTGTGCATGATAGGCGTTTCATATTATTTCATATACCTCATCCAAAAATTAAGTACATAGGTACATGGGTTAAGAAGCTATAAACAAGTTAACGAAAATGATGGTCAAAAAACAACTTCACCTRCCAACAGGAATGCATTCAATTTTGTAAGCTTTTCCCTTAAACTCCTTAATTTTCTTTCATTAGATGAGCAATCAGAAATGGAACAAGAATGGGTTGCACTTGTCATTCAAAAAGACAGACATCTCCGACTGAAGATACAAGAAGTGAGTTACAAAATTCTATCACAATACAAGCTTATGTTTCCCACTTTTGTACCCATTTTGCCCATTTTGTTTTGTTATAAGTGTTTTTAATACTCTATCTCCGATGTCATTCATAATTTAACAAAAGACCTCTCACAAGTGAGCATAGCAAAAACGTGTATCATATTATATAATTAAGCAAATTATGTCTTAAAATACCTTTTTTACTTCCAATATATTTATATAGAGAAAACTCGAATCAGTTATTTTCACTAGTCAAAATAACAACATTTTCAAAGAGAGAAATATAGGTGTTTCTTAGATAATTATATGACAAAGGATATCAAGCTTTCATTGGTTGTATTTATATATGTATTTGCCACCATTTTCAGTGGTTTTATTAAATTTGGAAGTAAGTTGATGTTCTTAAAAAGTAACTGTAATTTGGTGAAGGCAGCTGGCCCCAAGTTCAAAATCCACTAGAATTTGTTAGTTGCCASTTATAATGACAACCAGGGCTCGAAATAACGGCCAGTCAAAGGACAATGTCCTTCCCAATTCGCCAAATAACCGGCCAAATTGGGTTTTGAAAGGCCAAATTTACCTGCCAAATTTTTAGACAAATTAATTCTCAATTTGCTAAATAAATCTTTTAAGAGCCATTATAATGCTTGCTGATCTTTCTGAATACAAAAACCTATAAATTAAAAGAAAATAAAATAAATATAAAGTTTTTGTCCTTTCAAAACTTGACATGACCTTCCAAAAATGAATTTGGAAGGACATCTTGTCCTGTATATGTCTGGCCGTTATTTCGAGCCCTGGACAATTACCCTGCATTGTGTAATTTTTGGTCCCAAGGCAASTATAATTTCCATGTTATATTTTTTTAGGAAAATGAAGTGATCAAAAACCAATACATGGTACWATTATATAACACCCTCAAAGTGCTTGGAACATTCAGYTTTCCCAACCAAAGGGATATCATCCTTACAAGAAACATGGMCAAAATGCTCCACSAAGTAGAAAAATACTGCACAAGGAACAACATTGAAAAGACSAATMAARWGCAAAAMMATCCAGYCAATCAYCAACCAGTAAATATACCAATGCCACCTCCAATACCACCACCACCACCTCCWCCACCACCTCCCCCACAGCAACTATTTTGTAAACCAAAGCTTCAGCCACAGCCAAGAACTCCACAGATACAAAGAAAACCTAAACTCAATGATTCAAAACCTTTGGAAGAGCAAAAGACTCCYYTAGATTCATTAAATAATGAGTTACTTARAAGTATCAAGAGAGGACGGGCRTTGGAGCTAAAGAGAACACCATGCAAAAGATCCCCTGGGGGGACCCCCATGAAAAGACCACGACGACTATCAGAGAGTGATACATCAGATTTAATCACCCTTGCMTTAAAGCGGAAATTTAAAAACGTGAACTCAATGWTGAGTCCTAAAGAGAATTATTCTCCTAATATAAACTCGCCATTGTCACCWAGTATGGAGTATCCATAACTCACAACAAATTTTATTCACAAATTTTCCTCAGACAATCATCAGGGCAAAAAMATGTGAAAACCTGAGGTTCTACTGCATAAATAGCCTCCATTATTAGTATAACATATATATTGATGTAGGGGTCTGCTCTTGATCCTATGCCCCAGGTACTGTGCTACCAAAGAAGAGGACAGGAAGCCCAACAAAAATGAAACTGGTTGTGAAAATGTAACCCTTAAATGCTACCTTTGAAAATTTAAAAATTTTACAATGAAGACTCGTCACGTCATTTCTATCCCAGATTTGATGGCCCCAGTTTTGTTCACTAATGATGCCATACATTGTTTTTGAATTATTATTTAAAAATGGTTTTATTTACATTTCCTTCTGTATACTTCTACGATTCATTGAGTTCTTTTTCCATATTTTCAATCAAACCTTCAGTAACTTGAAGTTTCTCATTCCTAAAAGTAGATCAAATATTTTTAGTAATGAGAAGTACAAACTATTTTACACTACAAACATGGTTGCTTCTGTGTGTATTGGAGCAATAACAAGTACAAACTACGTAATTCAATACAAATGAGATCAAAAAGATGGAGCAGAAGCTAAAAAATATCCTAATACATAGAAAACTAAATTAAATACAATAGATTGTGATACACAATGAAGGGCCCATAAAAATGCATGTTAGTGGTATTATTGAACAGTGCAAGTCAAACTTACCAAAGTCTTCTTTTCTGATCTTTTTCCTCTTGTTGCTTTATCTTATATTCTTCAGGGATTAAAAATGTATTTCCAGCCTGTGCTAGTAATCCAATGGGAGCACTGCCAAAAGGAAAGGTCATAATTTGTTAAAAAAGAACTACATGCACTAGGTTCCAAAACAAACAGCAGGCAACAGTTAATTCAAAAAAGAACTACTACAAACAAACTGAACATTTTTTGGAATCTGCACAACCTGCTCTTCTTGACCTTTTAAAGCTTCAAACAACTTTTAATCTTATAGAAAATCAGCTCAAAATACTGTACCTGACACCAGCACAYAAAACTGTAGCCACCAACATACTCCTCCAACCTCCCAAGATCTTGTAAATGGCACCTGTAGATGCTACATTACACAGAAAATAATGAAGGCAATCATAGCACAATAAAAACTAATGGAAGCRCAAAGACATTTGATATATTCTAATAAGGATTGAATTATAATTTGCAAATGAAACAATCAACCTACCACCAGCAGCAATGTAATTAAGGGCATCATTTTTATCCCTATAAACACCAGAACCAGCTAGAAATAAACTAAGAAAAGAGTACATTTAAAAAAATGTTATTGAATTTGCAATGTTTTTTTGCAATTTTGTGTTGAATATTATGTACTAGTCAATTGAAAATTGAGGGGAATTTAACGTTTGAGTGATGTTAAAATGAAATATTTCCCCCGGTAGTCTGGGGCACATTCATTGTTAAAATCCCCGCTACTGTTGCCCCGCTATTTTGGTCTACTAGTAAATAACAAAACAAACACCTTTTAATCAAATTTTCTGTGATACACAGGGTTAGTTTTTGCACAATCCTTTGTACTCATTTGCATGCTACATGAGGTTAACTGGGCGAAGAAAAACATGTGTAATTGAGTTTCTTTTAAAAAATTTTCATGCAAGGAAAATAAACAAATAAAAAAGCAGGGTTGAATACCAATGCCTTCAGGGTATTGCCGAACTCTATATTCCAGCCTCATACATGTTTCAAACGCACGTTAAAATCCCCGTCCTTTGCCCCGCTTTGAAAACAATTCATCAAAATCCCGATTCCCTGGGGCAATCTTGCTGTTAAAACCACGTTAAAAATGCATCACGTCCCCGTTCAGTGCCCCGCTAGCCCCGGGGGTCGGGGGTTTCAATTGACTAGTGCATTATCTTGCAAACAATTCAAAAATATGATATTATACAAATTATGACTTTCATGTTTTTTTTTTCTGTCTTTTCAAATGAACAACATTAATGCAATTGACTGGTCCTTTTTACCTATATAATCCAGCAAATAAACCCATGCGCCAGCCCCAGCGAGATCCATACTTGACAAAGCCCAGTACTTTTGCAGACTGGAATTCTCTTTGAGCATGCATCTGTGATCGGTACACTGTAAGTTTGTTTTGCTTTGCATAATGGTCTGCACCGATTCTAACACCAAACTGACCACCAAGGAGAAATCCGAATATAGAGCTTACACATACTACAGTAGGGATATGTTGGATTTCTTCTGATAATGTATTGTCAGGACTGCAAAGAAATAGAGGATATTACATGGGCATGTGGAGATAAGGATTTTATCTGCGAGCGTTGAAAAGATCTCTCACGAGTGAGTGTAGCAAATGAGTGAGATTTTCAACACAAGGAGATAAAATTTGTATCTCCAAGCGACCCTGTAATATTCTGTTTATCATATAATTGTGAAAGCAAATTCTGCTGTAATAGCTTTTTTCTTACTTCCACTATATAGAGAAACCTCAAGTGAAAATAAAAACTTTACGTAATGGATAGGTATTTTGTAGATAAGTTAGTTAAGCTTAAGTAAGAGTATGAAAAGCATGCATTGTGTTATAGATAACATATGAAGATGGGTTTAAGTATTCTATAATAATTTATGGTATAAGATTGCATCAACAAGAGAATCATAAAAAAGCCATGTTACCATATTCTACAATATTTGAAGATACATAACATAAGCACGACCTACTTCAATTTGAACAAGGCTTGCACTCTGTCCCAACCGGTTTCATCATTCTTATCACATAAATYTCCAACATCCATCTTAAAACAACTCCCAACAAGAGGTTTCACTTTTTAAGTTGGTTTTCAATTAAATGTAACTTGATTTTGTGTTCATTTTAAGGATCAATGGCAAGAAATTTTCAAAAATCAGAAAACATCCACTTCGTCCGCCATCTTGAAAAATTGTCCCCAGTCCCTATTCCGCGCCACAGGCAGCCCACAACTTGACACTAGTACTCGCAAAAATCGAAAAAATAAGAAATAATGAGAGAATGTTAGGCTTGCAGAACTAAAGGAGCCGAGGGTTTGAGCCCAGTAGGCTAATCTCAGTTGTCTCTTCCCTTTGTCACTCATGCATTTATATGACCTTCGAGAGAACACTCTGGCTAAAATATCGGCTTCCATTATTACTCTTTGTAGAGTACTAAAACGAAAAGACAACATACTATCCTTAGCTTCATGACATCATTTATTAGTCAAAATTATTATCATTATTATTGTAACGTTGTAATGTATCGGTCCAAAAAAGTCCCCCTCWTATCTGGGTTGCAATTGCTTCCCAAGGAAGGGAGATTACTCAATGACTTCGCCTTTGCGTCTTGCAAGCTATACAACTCAATAACACCTCGCTTTTCCGTTTGGAGCTTTGCTGGATCCCAATTGCTTTTGACATCGTTAGTGCTGATGTCTCCGATGTTGTTCAGGGCCATTATTACGACTGACTGTCCCCCTGAACTGGCTCCGGTWGGACTAGGGGCTTCAGGATCACAGACCACCTTCCAATAATACTTTGGAGCAAAGACTTTRTGGTTTAGCTTCACTTCTACTTTCTGTCCTTTTAGCGTCGTCCCAAAGCCATCTTGAAAATTAGTAAAAAAATAAATGAATATTGAATGATTAAACAAAAATATGGATAATTGAATGGGAAAGACTAGCAAGCATAAACCCTTGCGCACTGTTTAAAAAGAACTGTTTTTAGAACTTAGAGAGGTAGTAGTATGAACATCTTCATTTAAAAGAGGGTAACAAACTCGTGCACCTCAAATTTCAAAGAATATATTATAACAATACAGGCATTTTCAAAAATTCTGACCGCTAAACGATATATCATTATCGGGTGCATCATGGGTATTTTCATGTATTTTCATGTGATTTTAAATCTTTTCTCGCTAAAACAGATCGCAAATCATTCSAATACTTTGAGCATAAACTGGAGATGACAAAATAAAAGTTTCAATTTGAAATATCAACCACATATGATACTAGAGAATATTACACGACAAGATAAAATGTGTATCTCCAAGCGAACATGTAATATTCTATTCATCGTATAATTATGTATGAAAGCAAATATTGTGTAAAATGTATTTTATTTTCACTTGTTAAAATAACATCTTTACGAAATGGATAAATATATAGAGGATATTACATGGGCGCGCGGAGATACGGATTTTATCTTCGAGTGTTKAAAAGATCTCTCACGAGTGAGCGTAGCGAACGAGTGAAAGATTTTCAACACGAGAAGATAAAATTCCATCTCAAARCGRCCATGTTATATTCTGTTWATCATAKAGAGAAACCTCGAAAGTGTTATTTTCACTAGTGAAAATATCAATTTTACGTAATGGAGAAATATAGGTATTTCAAAGATAATTATATGATATAAGTATTTTACAGATAATCATATTATTAATCAATATAAGTTAGCGGCCAGAATTTCTTCAATTGACTGTATGTATGACACCAAATAAATATCAATATTTAGTGCTAATACTAAATGTTAGTAATGTTTCCATTCAAACCAGACCATAATATAATAATATAATATAATATAATACCTGTTCCAGTAAAAATATATAGTTTGTGGTGTTGATTGCTGCTGTACTTGTCAGCGTGGTAATCTCTAACAGCCTCCTCAATAGTTTTCCAGTTCCCGCCRTTGAAAAGCTGCCACTGTGGTGCTACGTTAGTGCTGATGTAAGTAAGCGCACGTTCGTCGCGAGTCGCAAAATCACCGSCTGGAGTTAGATGCCCTCTTGCGCAATACTGATCCTTCCGCCCTTGTGCGTCAAAGTTTGGGTACTTGAGATCTTTTTGAAGTTCCACTCGATAGTCGCCATTCTTCTCGACAGATGATTGGGGTTTTGGAGCTTRGAAAAGAATAATAAAGGCTCTTTTTATATAAATACGAATGGTTGTAGTTTGTAGTTTAAAAATATATATATTTATAATTAAACAGTGTACATATTTCAATTCTTTTTTACAAATAAACATTTATATCTTTTTCATATCTTTTTTCATAAATTTTTCACGCTAAAAAGTATTAAATTTTCCTATATTCAATTTTGTAAAGCGCATCAGAACCTGGTGAATATTTTGCGCTCTCCTTTTTTTCAGTGCTAATAAGATAATTTTCACAAATGATAGCAATGAACACTCCRTACTRCTGCRGTGTTGCATGCTATGTTTTCTTTCATAACTTTCCATATCGTCTACAT